GGGAGGGGGGGGGATGTTGAGGTGACAATGATGTGTATTTGACTATGGCAATTTGGCAATCTCTTCAGACTGGACAAGACATTTCTCTTTGAGAAATGCCTGCTGTTCCCATGTAGTAAATACTTTAGAAGAAACTACTCACGTATTTTATTGTCAATTCTTATTTTATGGGATCTGAGCCAAACCATACTTGAAAAGTACTGTGCACCACAAGAATTCATTCACAATCATGAATATTTTCTTTCTTTTTTTTCTGAAATGTGCATAAAGGTGGGCTTTTTTCTTCCTTTTGAACAAGTCGCAAACTATATCCTAGCCTGTTTTACATTCAATTCCTTCAAAACCAATACAGGCAGGTGGAATTATGTTCCACCTCTACCTGTGTCATTGGGATTTGTATGTCAATATCTGAGAGCCATTTTTTTTAATATTCTGGAATCCACTGCTGTATACTCCTCGTTATCCACAAAAGTCTGTACCCGCTCACTTTCATACTCATTGACAGGGAGATTTTTTTTTTTTTAAAGATAACCCTTAATGAAACTGAAGATATTCACATGTAAAACATTAGTTTAAAACAGCTTTAAGAGATGGATTATGGTGACAAACCAGGAAATTGAGAAATAAGCTAAAATTTTTCCTTCTGTTCCTATTGGAATGAGCACATGAAGCTTTCCAACTTAATCTCCAGGCAATTTATATTCCCCACTGCCACTGTCCTTTATTACACAGAAAGAAACTTCTGTTTCCCTTTGAACAACAGAATAATTGCACGTTAAACCAAGACAGACTCTGTTCTTATGGCTAGCTGCATCCAATCCGTAAGTGCAGAAGGAGATAACAACAAAAAAATGTTGGGAAAGAGAAGGGAAAGTAAATATGTTTGTATTTACTGTTAAGAAATATTGAAAATGGTGTTTTGTATTATATGACTTCCCTTTCCCACTCAGGCATTGTTTTGGAGTTTAGCTTTCATAACATCATCTTTTGAAGTCTAGCAGCAGACCCAGCGGTCACCAACAGTGCTGCTAATCCTTTTGCCGCCACCATGAAGATAAAGTTAGCTCTGTCAGCCTCTGCCGTTTCCATGTTAAATAGATGTCTGTGGCCAAGGGAGTCAGGGCAAAGACCACATGATGATGGGGTATGCTCGTCACAGATGCCTCAACGCCTTTGCTCAAGAAGCTGAGGTCAGAGGCAGGATGTTAGTCAGTTAAGTCGCCGCTATCACACAGAAGCAAGGACATGCTTCTGGAACGGCTATGCAAAACAAGATAAAATGGATGAAGAAGGGTTTTTTTTGTTTCCATCTGCTGGTGTGTCATTAAAGCTGCTGAGATCTATTACAACTCTGGGTTTTTTCCCTCACTGGCTATAAAACGAAGTTTCACTGAGAGAAGTTGCTAGTATTTTCAGAATGAATGCAAATGAATGGGAATAGTGAGGATACAAATAGCCTGACTACCCTAAAAGGTTCTTTTTACTCATTTCAGCACTAAATTAGTTGATCCCAGTGTGTTCTGATGCAGTAATTCTCATGTGTCTCACTTACAGGCTCCTTTTATAGTTCAGCCCCATCCAAAACACACTGTAATTTATTTCATAATTCTTTTCTTTTAATCCCATGATGGTGAGTTCTTTTTAGTTTGCATGACTACATGATTTTAAGTTCCAATTTCTTCTTCCTTTCTTCCCCTCACACTTTTTGTTTTGTTGCCCCAGTGCACTGCACTGTTACTTTTACCTTCCCACACTTAACGTCTTCTTGGCTCCCACCTTTCATTGATAGACATACATTGAAAGTCGTGTTTCCTGGAGCCATGTCCAGTAATGGCAAATGGATGTACTGGAAAAGTATAACTTGCAGAGCTCTTCAAACACTGCAAATTATCCATCGATAGTATATCTTTGCCTCAATAAATGTGTTCTGGCCAAACACAACTCCCTTTGGACTGCTGTCTGCAAATGTGTGAGATTGACTTTTACTGGCCAAATGACAAGTATCAAAATTGCATACGAAAGTATTTGTGGGGAAGGAATAGCATGTTTTCGTGCGTGAGTAATTCTGCCATGAAGAGAACATTCGCCATATGACTTTCTGTTGAGTCCCAACTAAACCCCCCAGAGAGCAGACAGTTTTAAGTGCTTTTAGAGAACATGCTCTCATCGGTTTGAAGAGATTAAAAACACTCACCAAAAGACTAAGTGCGTAGTTATGAGCAAGGAAGACATCTTAGAAAGCTGGATATTATGCAAGCCAATAGATAGGCTACATTGGTTACACAGTCGTATTGCTGTAGACAAATAATACATTTCAATTGTTGCTTGTTCATATATGGATGCACTCGCATGCTGGTGGCATTTAGATGTTGAAAGGAGAAAATCAATGTTAACTGTGTCTAGTTCTGTGCAAACACATACCAAAGAAAGTTCCTGCTCCTGACAGGCAACAATTCGAGCATTAGACACGAAGACATGGTGGGTTGAATGAAAAATAGCATATTTCTTTTTCACTGTGGCATGTAGGAATTGTCGCCTTGTAGGTTCTGAAAGCAGAATAGTTATGAAAGGAAGGGGGGCAATTTTAGTCAAAATTCACAAGACCCCCCTGGAGGCGAGGTATCTTATCAGTGAATAGTTTGTGCTGTAAAGAGAACACAGATATCATGCTGTGATTTTTTTTTTTTTTTTTTAGTGTACAGCAAGAATACGAGAGAAAGCAGTGTTTTTGAGATGAGGAACTGAATTCTTGATGCAGACTCGTGAACAGAAGGGAACCAAGGGAACAGGTTTTGTTGTTGAGCAGTTTTAATGAGGAAGTATATATATTTTAGTGCAGTAAAGTAAAATAAAGGTTTCTACCCTGCACTGCGTACATGTGAATATAAAAATCCAACTTCGATTTGAATGGCTTACAGAACTGAGACTCAGGTCATCTCTGTTGTTTCTTTGAACTAGTTCCTCCACCCCATATTGCTATATGTCTGCATAATGCTTCAAACATATGAATCAGATCATGTCTGAAAACGTCTTCAGTTGTCTCTGGTGTGAGAAAGCAATCCTATCAGGCATCCATCAGATTTCCAAAACCACCTTTCAGCTAAAAATCCCAAGCCATTCATCAAGAATTTACTTTAGCTGAAAACAATGTAACTTAATACTAACAACCTTAAAATACTAGGCAACAAAGTAATTTCACTCACTTAAACATTGACCCACCTTATTGCACATGCTTTGGTGCTATATGGATCCAAGTAACAACAGAGCACAGAGGGCTCTGGAGTCTAAAGTAAGTTGCCCCTTTATTATTTCTCACAAAGAAAAGTATCTGCAGTTGATCTCTGGTTAAGGTGCACTAATTTCATTAACAGTCAGTTGAGCTGTCCCAGACAAAAGGAAAAGAGAGGCCCTACTAAAATAAAATAAAAGATGCGTTAAGTTCCATTACATTTGAAAACGTACGTGGAAGTGCAGTAGCGAAGG